CCCCAAAACCCCAAAACCCCAAAACCCCAAAGTACATTTATAATTGAACTTCACTTATATTGAAAATATATATTAATTAAAAATTATAAAGATAATATTAAAATTATATATTACATGGTTGAATCACTGTCAGATCAAAATTAACTTTTGAAATCAAACTTACGAAGTATAGGCTGTTTCTGCACAGTGCTATAGTATGTTTCGAATAAAAACATATTAAAATGCTTGCTCACTATGCTGTTCAAAGGAGGTTGTAGATTTTATGAGCAGCATATAGAGTTTTCTACAGAGTTTTCTAATGTGGAAATACTTACTAAAAAACCTAACAAAATTTTTGAGATTTCTCGCAATTTACAAATCAGAGAAAGTTTAATTAGAATTAGGTAATACCAAAATAGAGATGGATTTTACAAAATAATTGGATGCGACTAAATATATGTATTTATGAATTTCTTAGTAGAGAATCCGCTCCATAGAGCTTATATCACGACTTTAAATGTCTATAAATAGTAATCTTATTATGAACTTATGAAGCTCTCTGAATTGTTTAACACTGTCAAAAATATCTAAAATCTAAAAACTACAGGAAATATATACAATTAAATCTATCCAAATTTATCATAAAGCAAAATATTTGGAAATTTAAAGAGACTTACACTTGAGGTTTGTCCAGAGCAACCATGCTTTTTTGAAACTGAATTTTATAAAATACTGCCTAATACAATTGTGCACCTATCAATATACTTTGCAATAAGGTAAAATTTTGAGACATTATCAGTCCATAAAAACTTTTGCAATTATTTATAAAACACTTCGAACATTTGTTCATTAAAATTGAAAAGAATCATGGGTGTTTTTTCAGAAGTTGGATCCATTTGGGGTTAATTTTTCAAATAAAACAAATCACTTAGAAAATTAACAATAGCGGAATCTATTGGCAATTATGAGTAATTTTGGATTGGTTTGAAATGTAAACCTGTTAAGCTTACACATTTTAAACTAATAAACACCAGAATATCAGCGGATTAATTTTATTAATTTTCAGCTTTTCTCGTGAGTACTCCTTACTTTACTTTATTTGAGATTAGCGGATATTGCTTCGAATAATTAAAGGACTTTTAAGCTTAGAAAGCAATCAATAATTAAACTGTAGATTTCAATCTTATTGATTCATTAATGGGACGAGAAATGCATGATTTAAAATTTAGTAATAAAGATCCACATTTGTATGAAGGAAATGAATAAAATGCATTTGCTAATGTAATAAAAGGATTCTTGGGTTAAAATCTCACTATATAATATGCTGCAATTAACGATAGTAAAAAAATAGAGTATTTAGTCAATAACTAGAGACTTCAAAAACTTAAACTAAAATTCTCAAACATTGGAAAATGCTAATTTAATAACTTAATGAAAGCTCTAAAAAATCAACCGAATTTTATGAGTTTTAAATTAAAAGAAGTAGCATTGAATGATAAAAATAAAGATTTGCTGACTCCACTGGAAAATTGCAAGAAATTACAGATTATATCCATCAATAACACTGGAAAAGGTAGCTTTTCTTTAATCGAAAATTTTATATCTAAGCTAGGAAAGCAGCTTCGCTCATTTACTTATATCTCAAGCTCATCTGATTCTTAGAAAAGATTTAGTCTGATAAAATATCTCAACCCAACTACTTTGAAGAAACTTAGAATACAATGTGCAGAATATGTTAAATATCCTGATAAAATTATTGAATCTAAGGACAATTTAAATGATATTTAAGCTCTCTTTGCTTTCAATTGCCTCTTAAAACTGAAAATTCATCTAGATTATATTTCATTTGACTCCATCAATGCTCTTGGTTAATTGCTAGACAATCTGTCTAAAAGTTTAAGATATCTTGAAATAGGTATTGATAAAGAATGTCTCGATTTATAAATGGTGTTTATGATTACATTTTCTTCAATTACATCCAATGAATATGCGAGATACATGAAAAGAAACTCTAATAAAGAAGACATTAAATAGTATTTGGTTAAGTTTGCAGAAGGATTAGGACTCTGCTCAAGATTGATTGATGCAAAATTGCCATCTGAACTTCTAAATACTCCTTTATTTGATCTTTATTATGGATTTATGGATAGAAATGGTATTGAATCAAATTTAGTTTTAATGAGTAATTTTTAGGACTCTCAACAGTGCAAACCTGAAATTTACAAAAGCTTTTTATTATGATTAATTTTCAATCAGCAAATGATATTAATTTTAAATGGCTACGATGTGGGGTTTTGGGGTTTTGGGG